AATCAAAAAAGTTATTACAGATTTTTGTAAAAGCCTGAGTGAATATATGCACTTTTATATTCATCAAGACAAATGCCAGTTTTAATAGTGGAAGGTACTTTACCAAAACAAAAGTATTTAAAAAATCAAGTTCATTTAAAAGAAGGGTTAGGGACAACAATAAATAACTTTTACTTATAAACAAATAATGTAAATCAAGGACAAAGTAGTGGGTTACACACTACAATTATTTCAACAAAGGAGAAGTGAAATGTACCACTGAAGTTGAAACGGTCTTTTGTTTTTTTTTAAATATAGTTTCTTTAACCGATATCACAGCAAGAGATGTTTATTTAATTTACACTGAGAGATTTCTATTTAACTTACACTGCTTCTAAAAAATTTCTTTGGTGAATAAATATTTTTATTAGTTTTTAAAAAGGTGTCTTTGTGTCATTTATGTAACTTGTTGCTGTGTGCTCTGTATTTCTCTGACCAGCACATTTATGTAACTTGTTGCTGTGTGCTCTGTATTTCTCTGACCAGCACATTTATGTAACTTGTTGCTGTGTGCTCTGTATTTCTCTGACCAGCACATTTATGTAACTTGTTGCTGTGTGCTCTGTATTTCTCTGACCAGCACATTTATGTAACTTGTTGCTGTGTGCTCTGTATTTCTCTGACCAGCACATTTATGTAACTTGTTGCTGTGTGCTCTGTATTTCTCTGACCAGCACATTTATGTAACTTGTTGCTGTGTGCTCTGTATTTCTCTGACCAGCACATTTATGTAACTTGTTGCTGTGTGCTCTGTATTTCTCTGACCAGCGTAATTACTGCATCAGTTTAGCTCATCTAGAGTACTAATCAACATACTATATGGTTCCAGCTAATTTTGCACCCTTCCCAAACATGCTAGTATCATGTTCGCGCGCCCGCAAGCACACACACACACATATATATTTATGAATAAAGCAACTGGGGTTAAAGACTAATTGCACAAAATTCAAAAAGAACAGTATAGAGTTTGATAAAATTTGATATTTTAAAAATAAAACCATCGTTGCTAAAACGTTCACTCGTAAACCTATTATGTCAAGCAAAACCACTTTAGACATCTATGAATTCCAAATGCACAAGTAAAACCAATTAAAAAGCATGTAAAATATGTATAATTCAAATAAGTTTATTTTATTGTGCGAGGTTAATTCAGGATTACACTACATATGGAACAGTCAGTAACCGGGTAATAATTGTTAAAGTCTGCCTATTGTTGTGTACATTAAACTATATCCATTAATGAAGAGAGCACTAAATTTAGTACATTCAATTGCAAGTGAATGATTAACAAATTTACTAAACATAAATATACTAAATATAAAAGTCAGTTAATCACTAGCTGGAAATTGTCTAGTTTTTCTCCTTTCTATAAAGTAAAAGGGGAAAAACAACCAAAACATTACATTTGATTGTTAAAGTAAAATATACCTAGTGTAAATCATATCATATTACCCACTAGTATAGAGTATAGTAATAAAAATGTGTATGTAACATTCTTTGCATTTATTTATGAGCGTCACAACCGTTCAACAAGTTAAAAAAATTATTTGCCCAATACAAAAAATGCCATCATAGCAAATTATATTCAAAATCTTTGCTGCCTCTAACTATGTTTGAGATCAACCCTTAAAGAGGCTTTGATATTAGCTACAAAACTGATATAAAAATAGGTTTTAAAATAGATCCCGCCTCAGTGTAAAATTATAAATGGTAAATTCTTCTTCATCACTTGAAATGTACAATTTCGTACTAATCCTTTCAGATTACATTCAAAGTATTTCAAATGACAGAACCTCAGAGAGGTTAAAAAAAATGTGTTAAAAGCAAGGCTTTTTTTCTGGTGGTATGAATTGGAATGCAGTACCAGCACCTTTTATCTTTTTTCAACACTACTGTAATAGACATTTTTCTTAGACACTTCTTGGCAAGTACCGGCACCTTTCTTTCCAGAAAAAAAGCACTGGTTAAATGCACCCCCCTCACCGCCACATACACTGGTTACTGTTCTTTTTACTAGTTCTTCAATCAGTATGATGCATACTGGATAAGTATATTAATGTTGTCTCCGATAGAGGCAACAGATTATAATGATTTGTTGTCTTCAACAGAGGCAATAAATTATAATCATTTGTTGTCTCTAAGAGAGGAAACAAATTATAATAATTTGTTGTCTCCAACAGAGGAAACAAATTATAATGATTTGTTTTCTAATTTCTTAACCCTTTCAGCACCAAGAAACTCCTAAATATCTATGGATTACTGTCTATCCAGCAAACATTTCTGAACTTCTTTGGTTCTATTTTTCCGTTACAATAACCAGTTTTACACTAATTGCTACTTGAGCCTCATCTCTCCATAGTTGTATTAGTTTAACTCATAACGATTTCAAGATTGCTACTGTAAAGTACTCAGACTGGGACAGTAAGTGCTCATTCAAGCAACAACTAAGACTGAAAGGGCTCTATAGCCTGCATGTAACAGCCTGAAACACATTGGTCCCATTGCATAAAGCAACATAATAAATAAGCAAGCAAAATAGCAGTGTAAAAACATGTCTAAATACAAAAGAGAAGAACAATGAAAAGGGGCAGGGAAGCTTTGCAACATAGTCTCTAAGACATCGCCAAATTTAGTTTATTTCATTAAGTAGGGGTAATTAAGGATAAAACTACACATGGAGCAGTCAATAACCAGCTGGAAATTGTTTAAATGTTCTTCTTTTTGTGTATATTAATATCTACTACTGGAGACATTAAATTTAGTATATTTGATTGTGACTGAATAGTTTACAATTAGAGTGGACATAAATCAGTCAATCGCTAGCTGCAAATTGACAATAGCTTACCCCTTTCTATAAAGTAAAAGGTGAAATGCAACTAAAATATTTCATTTCATTGTTAGAGTAAAATATACCTACTACATATATCATATTACACACGAGTATAAAGTATAGTAATAACAATGTGTATGTAAACATTCTTTGCAATTATTTTCAAATAGGGTACAGTAAAATGATAATCCATTATACATGCATTATTTCACATAATGATGTAAGATTTACTCAAAGTTAAAAATTAATATTAGCACCATAACAGTTCGACAGGTTAACAAAATTATTTGCCCAATAAAATAAATGCCATCATAGCAAAGTAGACAGACTAGGACAGAAAGTGTTCAAGCAACAACTGAGACTGAAAGAAGGGCTGTGTAGCCTGCATGCTACAGCTTGAAACACATTGGTCCCATTGCAAAAGGGCTAAAGCAACATAATAAATATGCAAGCAAAACAGCAGTGTAAAAAACACATCTAAATACAAAAGAGAAGAAGATCAAGAACATGGGGCAGTGAAGCTTTGCAATATAGTCTCTAAGGAGATGGTACTTTGATCAGGAGGTAGATCTACTTTGATCAGGAGATAGATCTAACAGTCCTCACTCTGAAAGATTAAGCCCTTTTTCCAAGGTTTAGACAACCTGAATGACAATATGCTCGACTTAAGCTCAGTCTTTCAAAGGCAGTTATACTCCATCTTTAAGAAGACTCCCTGCTATCCAACCATTAGTACATAGGGCTAATGCTGGCCAACGGAACAGCACAGTTGTCACACCAGGAGGAAAATTCTGCCACCTTGCTGTAAAGGATTTCTAGGAGCGCTAAGCAATCACCTTCAGAAGAATGAAGTGCTGCAGGTTTCTTTCCAAACATACGAGTATACACATTTAGTAAAGAATAGGACAATTTTTCAGCACTTTGTATACTGTGAAATTTTTTCACACCTCTTTCTACCCACCCAGCTGATGTTACCAGGCCTACTGACTTGTTTCCTAAACTACTGTCATTCTGAGTAACTACTGATCTGTTGGTTAATTGTTCACCACCTAATTTAACTGTAGCTTTGAGGCTTTCAGTATTATCTTGACTTTTTGCTAACAAACTGGTCCTGAAGTTTACTGAGCTGTTATTGATTCCTACACTAGATCCAGTTTCAGCTGTTCCATTTAGATTATATAAAGGTTTAATGTTCTCACCCAAAACTGACTGTGGATCTAAACCTTTGTTTTCAATACCAGTGCCACATTCTTCTTTAAATAAATACTTTTTTACATGACTACTTCTCTTGTGAAAATCTTCCTCAGAACTATTTGTCAACTCAGGTTCATGTAATTTGGTTGACTTCAACATTTGTGGAGTGTGCTCAACTTTATCCCAAACTGCTTCATGGGTAGGTGAAACTCTTGCACGCTTAGAATTCACATTAGATGTTTCAAGTGCCTCCGCAGTTCTTTTAAGACTGTCAGAATTATCATCACCTGACTGATGAATTTTTATGTCAGTTTCATCTTGGCATCCGATGCTCCGAGATCTATTTAGCTCGAACATTTTTCCAGATGCTTCATCCATCTCCTTAACTGATTTAACTGACCGTGTTTTCACAGTTAATGATGCTGCTAATAAATTCTTTCTTTCTCTTTTCTGCAACAAATACTCTGGAACAGGAGGCAAACCATCGAATGTACGTAAGGCTTCCAGGCTGTCAGTACAAAGTAAACCATCAGGCACCTTTCCTCTCTCACGTCTCAAGTGTGACACCAGCAATGGGAAATCAAACCTGTTAGAGAAAAAAAGATCTATTAATAATGTTTATAAAACTTATAGGATATTTAAAAAAAAAAAAAAAAAGATTTCAACAATTGAAACAAAAGTCCTACATAAGGATCTGTAAAACCAGCACAAAGAATGCTGATGCCCAAGATGAGTTACGGGGTATTCGTTTAATAGTTATAATATCAAGTCCGCAGCTTTTATTTTCCATGACATTTCCAGGTATCCATTTTAGGTGGGCCACCCTAGGAGCCGAAGACAATAATTTTAAGAAAAAAAAATGTCCCACATGGATTTAAACCCAAGGCCTTTGGGACATCCAGTGGATAGTGCCAAGGAAAATTTGATTGAAAACAACTCACTCGTTTCCATTGTGGGCAATCAGACAGACCGGCTGTGGGAGATTCTCCAGAAACATGGTGATTAATGGTGCTTGTTTGTTGAATGATGGCATGTCTTCAAGCGCTTCATTGTACAGACCTGCAACACAAACATAAAACTGTACCCTTGCTCAGTGTTTTTTTTTCTCTAGAGAAGAGGTTCTTGTACTCCTCATTAAAGGTTTATTACAGTAATGGTGACAAATTATTATGCCTACAAAAAAAAGGTGCCAGTACTAAGCACCATTGCGTACACCCAGAAAAAGGCACGGGCCTTTCTAAATTCTTACACCTGTCAAAAAAACTGCCAATTATTGCCTGTATTTGCCACTTTTGTGGTGTGGTGTAGTGGGGATCCATTACCTTACCTAGGAATTGAACCTGGGTCTACCACATGGACAGCACAGCATTCTTAACCACTTGGCTAGCCGCTCCTCATTAACCTATCAACTTTATTTAAATGTAACCTAGTCTGAGTTGTGAAGGTGTTAAGTTTTCATATGTTCTCAGCAGAACACCAGGTAGGATAAATAGTTCTCTTCTCCATCTTTCATTCATGAAAAATTCAAAAAATCCTAACTGCCAGGGATTTTTTATTTTAAGTTGCGCTTTCTCAAGAATCAAACTACTGGACGTAAATTTGCCTAGAGAAACCACACAACAGCAAGGGGCTGCTGGGGTTGGTTCTGCGACATCCTGTAAAGGCTACGCAACTAACCTAACCTTTTTTCTCTAGAATGGAGGCTGACTACAGTGTTATCATCATGTAGCAGGTCCTTACAGAATGTCACTCTCATTGTCTGCCTGAAAGAAACTCACTCTCTTGCCAGTTCTCCCAACTCATGCACTTTCCTACCTAAGGTGTCATGTAGATCGTGTGCCCATCTTCATGTGGGCTGGCTCCTGCCCCTCTTTCCCTTACCATGCCATATCTATTATTATTTTTTCCAATCTGCCATGGCACTTGAGATATGAGAGTCAAGATGTTGTATACTAGCCCTTGGCGTTACGATTTTTCAGTGTCAATATTTCAATTTTTCTCCTGATATTCTGAAAATCTTTCTATAGCATTTCAGCCCAAAAGCCCCTATTTTCTTCCGTAAGGACTGTGAAATAGTCCACCACTCACATTCGTACGTTGCTAAAGGGAAGATGCATGCCCTCAAAATTTTAACTTTGATTTCCTTGCGGGTGCTCAACCATAGACTTTTAATGCTGTCTATAGTGCACACAATACTAGTTTTAAAAGTAAGCACAGAAGAACATAAGAAATATGCCAGACATTTTACTGTATAATATTCAGTGCAGATTCCGCTTTATTTAAATTCATAATGGGAAGGCTTATTATTTAAAAGTACAATTTCCGGGAAAAATAGTATACTCACAAAATATATCTACAACAGGTGCTATGTTCTCTTACCAGTGATTTCCGATGCTGAAGATCCAATCTTCTTGCAAGGATTGACACATATAACCAGCTTATTGATCACACGCAAAGTCTTCTGCTTTGTAAGAAGTTCCTCCCTAGTTACAGCAATAAAACACAGCTCCACGATACCTGGATTATAGCCGGGGCTTGGTAATCCTGTTGTTTCAGTGTCAAATAAAACAAAAGTTTTCACGCTGATGGCAGGACTTGTTTCCTCAGCCCTGTGCTCCATCTGGTCCACTCTGTGTACTAAGGTTTGTTAACTGTGTAAGAGGACCTCTAAATTAACTAGTTATCCTGCAAAGCGAGAAAAAGTAAATAATTAAAAACATGATTGATTAAATTTTTGTTTCCTCACTAATGTCAGCAACTGTGGGTTATGAATGCAGCTTCATAATTTTGCCACATTGGCTTCAAGTCCGCCACAGGTGATTTGGCAGCAGACTGCTCTGCACTGATTTTGACGATAATATGAGCCCGAACAGCTCAGAAAGCAATGGCTGGATTCAACAGACAATTTTCCCCTAAAGACAAAACCGAGGAGAATAATCAATTATTGCACACTAAGGAAAAATCAGGGCAAAATTGGAACAATACAAATTACAGGCTATCCTCCGAATAACGGGCACTAAAGATGGCGGCCGCAAAATATCCTTTCAAGCCACAGTCACGTGACTTAATCTGCGGTTCTCCGGCGACTACAGCCACCGCCACAAGGCTCCCACGCCGCTCATGCAGCGTGGATTGGGGCTAAACTAGATGGCTAGGACTCACGAGCAAAGCTTCAGGAGATGCGGAAGCTGCTGCTCATGGGTCCTAGCCATCTAGTTTAGCCCCATCCACGCCGCGTGAGCGGCATGGGGGCCTCGTGGCGGTGGTAGCCGGAAAACCGCAAATTAAGTCGCCGGAAGTGCGCAATTGACACGTGACTGTGGCTCGAAAGGATATTTTTCGGCTGCCATCTTTAGTGCCCGTTATTCGGTGGATAGCCAAATTACATTTTAGTCGTATAAATAATTACATGCATAAACTTAAATTAACAAATACATACTCTGAGAACTCAGTTAACATATATTCCAATTATAACTCTAAGGGTTGAACAAGATATTTTTTGAAAAATTACTTCTACAAGCAGACAAGAAGGGATTGGGTATCTAAGCACTTTGTGAATGGCTGGCTAACTTTTATCTTTGTGCTGGGTCACACAGGTATTTAGGCAATGAGCACACAGATTATCTTGCAGACACTGCAATTGCTATGGATGGTCCTGTGCTGGACAGAAGCTTGGTACAAATTTCTCTGGAATACCAATGCCATGTGCAGCATGTATCGCAAAGATTAAAACAGCAAAAGGCATGAACCCATATCCATATCTAGACTGATGGACATGGGGATGAAACCTGGAGGTGCAAGAAATAAACATTTCTCCAAGAGGACAAGACGTTTAATTAATCAACACAGAAGAGGCGTCACGAGTCATTTTACAATTATGTAGTTTTTCCAGGGAGGTTCGTAGCACCTATGGATTTGTCTGGAGTGCTGTGAAGATAATCCTGTACAGTACGGGCAGCCAACCCTTTGCCACTAATATGCAACACTTTTGTTTTCTAACAGTATGCAGTACTGGCCCCTTTATTAAAGCATCCTATTTTTTCAGCACTACTGTAACTGACATTTTGTGGTGGTGCATAAAAGTACTTTTTATTGGCGCTGGATCTAGAGTTCAGTTATCTACTCTAGCCTCATTATAATACTGCCTCTAGATGCATACCTCTTTCAATGCTAAGTTACACGAACGCCAATGCATTCAGAAGTGAAACCTCAACTTCCAGTAAATTTTCACCCAACCGACAAATGCTAGTTAACATACACACATAATATCTCCACCTAATGTAGTTCAAGAGGATGCAGGAACTTGGAACAATACAGCCTTATATTTTATTTTATGAGCTCTGTCTAATCAGTGTCATTAATGATGTTATCAATTCTTCTTGTAAAAGATCAGCTTAAAAGACAATACGGTCAGAAGTATATGTTTTAAATCACCACTAATGACTGCCATCATAAGGGCTAATAAACTACAATGGCTGAGGCAGGGTCCTAATGGAGCAATGATGCACAATACAAGACTCTTAATGTCTATTAGCCTCTCTGGCTCAAGCCTACCTCACCTTCACGTGGTGGACCCTGTTCTTCCCAGCAATCCAGTTGAAGGTTGGGGTCTCAACCCCCAGCGAGCGGGAAACTGGATGGGACAACAAACGAGGTAAAGGCGAATGGATGAGCCTACTCTCCTCGAGTATGATCACAGTCTACCCTAGCAAAACAAGGTGCTGAAGTCGGAGGCAAACAGCCAAGAGGCGCACCACAGCAATCAGGATGCCACGCATACACGCCATAAAGGCGAACGAAAGAAGAAGAAGAATGACTGAGGCATTTACAAAAAATGGCAAAAATATATGTTTATAGGTGTGTATACTGCATACCAGCTCCCTCTCCAACAACACTCTCTAGGTACTAGAGTACCGGTTCAAGACACTTGTGTCAGTGTAATTAACATATCCTATCTAACATAATTTGCAAAAAGAAACCAGACCACAATTATAACCGATACTGCTTGCAGATGTTGAACATGGTCGATTTTTTGTTTCGTTTTTCATAAATTAATGGAACACAGAGACAAAAACTGCACACTCTTAAAGGCTGAATGGGAGCAGAACACGAGGTAGACCAAGCAGAAAAATGTGGAGAGATAATAAACAGGCAGACCAGAAAACACTTTGAGTCACCAACTGGAAAAAAGAAAGTCAAATACAGAGATAAACAGAGGCGGGTGCTTCTATGATAAACTGGTAGAAAGTGACCAAGAATAATCTGAGTAAAAATCGATTTAAAAAAAAAAAACAGTTGTCGGGTGTTAATTCAGTAACCTGACTGTTAACTTTTAAATACCGAGGATGAACGGAAAAAAAGCAATTCAGCAGCGTTTAAAATGGTAATCGCTCTTTCTCAAATAAAACATTTAACGGTCTGCTGAAAGCCTCAGTGCATTATACACGTGATTACAATTTAAATATAAAAAGCGTCCCTCCTTCTACAGCTCTGACTTTGCAAAGCGAAAACCTCATGGAGCAGTTTTGTTAAATATAAAAAATATATTGCGTTTGGTAAATGTGTACAGCGAAATGGGGAGCCCCTTAGGATCCGCTGAATGATTACATTCTATATTTAACTAATTATCTAAACTTTTTATAATATTTTCACAACTATATAACATTTAATAACATAATATATTGAATTAGGTCTTACAAGGCTTGTTTGGAAATTTTAAAATAAAGATTACAATTCGAACAAACCCAGACAGAGCCTCAAACTAATACTTCGCGGAACGCCACGGGAATAGAAACCAATTAAATCATCTTGTAGCCATTTTGTTGTGAAGATGATAGGTGATGTGTGCAGACATACACAGTTATTTGCTATACCACTCAACTACATCCGACCATCAACCTGTATCGTCAGTGAGGACGCCTGTCCCGGTGGTAATCAGACAACTGAAGTCTTGTACTACAAGTTGTAGCCGCCCCCCAGGATCTACTGAAGCAGACGCTGCTGTGGTGAAGGACGCTTACAGGGTAGCAAGGTCATGGCCGGCAGACGCCTCGTCAAAGGACCCAGCGTTTTATTGTTTTGTTGCTTCAATCGATCTCTTTGGGCTCATTGGTCCCCAGCCGCCAACTTCCTGGGTGTTCAGTAAGTCTTTGTGTCTACGTTAACATTAAAAACTAGCCGTGTGTCTGTAATTATCTGGGTGTAAGCACTAGAAGAGGTGCGGTGTTGATGAGAAAGTATTGTCGTCAGGAGACGAGATGGCAGCCTCCCCCTGTGTTGTGTTGTGTTGTGTGTGATCTCTGCTGGCCTTCACACTGCTGTTTTCCTTGAACTTTGGCCGTGGTCGTCTGTTTCAAGTCTACTTCTACTTCTCTGGGTCCCCGAGGAGACAACAGCCGTCCACGCTTTCTCACTCAAACATCTTTATTTTCATATCCTGGCGTTTTCATTTACTTCACTTTTTGAGTTGGTTGAGGACACCTGCTTCACCAGCCAGTAGATTTTTTGTTCTTTCCGTTTTTCAGTCCTGATTTGTTTGTAAACATAGTCGTTTTCCTAAACTGCGTTTGTCTTGTCACACTCCACTTTAACCCAAACATCTTTTATGTTCATATCCCAGTGTTTTTATTCATTCCCTCTTTTTTGAGATAGTTAAAGGAGCTACTTCACCAGCCAGTTTACATACAAAAATTGGGAGGAAAGAAAAAGGGGGAGGGAGTCTTTGCATTTGTTGGTAATGATATATTTCTAGCCACACTGGTTTGCTAAAATGTGTTTGTTTAATGATTTCAATTTTGAGGAGTTGATAGTTTCCAGACAGCAGTTCTATTTACATCATTGAGTACACATTTATCTTTATGCCTACTAATTCTACAGACAGAGGTTTTTATGTTTAACTCTTTGAGTCCCAGGGGGTTTAGCATCACAGGCCCAGGGGGTAGAAATAAAGTAATAAAATCGGTGCATCATGCGTTCATTGGGCTTCTAGGTAGGAACCTATGAACGTATGATGCGTTCCTTGGGACTCAAAGAGTTAAGGGAGCTGTTTCAGCCTCCAGTAGATTTATAATTTGTTTGTCAGTCATTTGACAAATTTTCTGTAAGCACACTTATTTCTTGAAATATGTTTGTTTTAAAAATTGGATGCTGAGATGGGTCCCAAACAATGTTGCAAGCAGTTGGTACAATGGCACATTTATCACTTCTGTGATTGATTCCTGATTTGTAGAACAGAAAACAGCAGGTAATAAAAAAAAAAAAAGATATTGTTTATATATTTATTAATACATTTAAGTACACAAAATATTGATATGTGAGCACACTAACAGTTGGTATCTTAACCATCATAGTTCAAAAACTATTCAGCTGAGTTGAGTTAATTACCGATATTGCGACAGTTAAGATCACTGAAGAGTTCTGATTCTGTCGGTACTATTGGCAGTCTGATTATATGTCTGTCTTGCATTTCCTCTGAGTGTTGAATGTCAGACAGATTCCCTGCTGACTCACCACATCACCAATCTCTCGAGATAAAATGATCTATTCGATCAGTTAATCAGGAAAATGAGTGGACATACAATTAGCTCCTGTTTCATTTAAATTTTACATCCGCCCACTCTGTTATAGTCATGACTTTAACACAGTCAGTCAAACAGAAATATGCTCCACTCCGCTGCACTATTTTTTTTTAACTTAGCATAGACTAGTGGCCATTAGGAGAAAATATCACTTTCTGATCCAGACTAATAGTAAAGTGAAAAGTTTAATATCAGCTCTTCCTGTGCGAGTTCTCTGGCCCTTTTTTTTGGGGGGGGGGGGGGGGGGGGGGGGGAACTGCTCCCTAAAAAGTATGTCAAAAAAGGTGACTAGGAGTCTGCTGAATTCCGATGTGTTTCATGGAAAAGCACATGTGTCACACCTTAACTGTTAACTACTTATCCAAGTCCAAAAAAATGTATGCAGAAACGTGAAATTTTTTAAAACATTTCTTACTAGGACTTCCTTCTTAACTTGAGTGCACTTTTTTGTGTTTTCATTCAGGTCATGCAATTTCTCTAGATAAACACATTTTATGCATATATCTTACTCACTGTCACATGATCTAGTTTGGTGTTGAACTTTCATTTTAACAAAACTTGCCCCACCTCATGTTTACATGAATAGTACATAAAAAACAAAAGAGCACATACAACAGGTAGATGGTTACAAAACTGAATATTTGTATTCTTCTCTAACTAGTGGCAAGCATAGCTTCAGAATTCCCAGGTATTTATCATCCTTTGAATAATTTCCCTAGAGCCTGTAGATCTACAGATGGCTGGTTCTGGTCCAGTTGGTGATAAATTGATGCATGACAAATTAGATCTTCTTTTTTGGAACTAGTAAACAGTGCAGAAGCACAAACAAATCATCAAGGTCTGGAGAGAATGACCAGGGGATCCGGCCAATGCTGACCACTCAGAGGAAGCACAACAGACATACAGTCAAGCTGCAGCTGTTACCATCAGAGCTGTAATTCTGCACCGGCTGCTGAAGAAGGGGATATAGTCCTTATGAGAATGTTCCATGTGCTGTAATGTTGTTTTTAATTGAACCCAGTTTTTCAAAAGCTGCATAACTACATTTTTCCGCGTAAAAATAATTTTATATATTTTGAAACAAATGTCTTCTACATTGTTATTCATTTACATGTGTACATTTTCATACATAAAATATGTCTGTGGTTATGTTAGAAAAACAGGTAGGACAGAAGTCGGACCTCATCATCATGCAATCATTTATGTGTACCAAAGATAGCAACAACAAAAAACATTGAGACATAATAACTTGTACGTCCCTGTGTGGGTTCTGGGGCCCCATTGGGGGTAAAACAAGAATAGACCCACTGCCTCCCCAACAGGCGTTTCGTAGGAGTCGACTAATTAGGGACCTCCTTCGAAGTCAGAGTGCATCTGCCAGAGTAATAAGGAACAACCAACTGCACACAAAGAAGCCAGTAAAAGGGATGTACACACAAAACTCAGGCCCTGGCACAAAGCCAATGTTTAAATGTACGAACATCCAGGACTTTCCACTGGAGCTTACAGCTGTTGAACAAAGAAGAAATAACTGGTATTTAATTAAGTATTGAATTTTGACTGATGGATGTTTCATTGCTCTTCCACAGTCATGAGTGTTCATAGTGAACTGGGAATTTCCCCAGCTCTCCTTCAAGCTATAGCTCAAACACTTACATCATCAGCACTGACTACATCTTCACGAGACTCAGCCCTGCCAACCATTGCCAAAGACAAGTCACAGGCTGCACCACATTCATTAGGATCACATCAGCTGAAGGACAGAATTGAGGCCAGCATGTCTTTAAATAAATCGTCAGCAGGTGGGGTTATATCACATTTGCTGCAGAATCTAAATGAACCTGTGGCGTCATTAATTACGCAGTCAAATGTGTCATCTCATGCTATTCAGAGCCTGGCATCAACAGAAAACAGTTCCATTATGTCCCAGGCGGGATTGTCATTGCTGGGGTTGTCAAGTAGTGGTGCCACGACCACTTCGGGACTTAATCTCACAAACACTTCAGTGAAACATTTCACACAGCCCTCTATGGTCATGTCAAATGATGAGATAACAATAACGAACTTCCTGCTCAAAGATGAACCTTCAGATGACTTGGAGCAGTCCATCCTGCAGCAAAGCTCACAGCCAATGAACACTGTTAGTAGTGTTTTGACAGCTTTTGCTTCCCAGCATATGAAGGAGTCACTGACTAAAAAAACACACAAGCAGAGCCATGGTGTTTCAGCCTCCCAGCTACAGCAGCAAAGTCTCGACTGCTCCGCTGACATAATTAGCACCAACAACGACAGCGATGGTGCCAACGAAGCTCGATCGCAGCCTCAGATCATTATCTATAGGTACATCAACTCTAATGGTCAAGAGGTGGTTCTGCCAGCGTCTTCGCCACAAGGAAATGATTTTGTGGTTAGTGAATCAGAGGGCAGTTCAGATACTCCCACAACATACAAAGTGTTGCTTCAGTCTGCAGATGATGTTAGAGACAGCAATCATGTGCCATATTCTTCTAATGTTACTTACACTTTTTCCTCTTCTAATGCGGCCCCAGTTACAGATTCACAGAACACTGTGGATGGAATGAGTCGTCCCTGTCCTGTCTGCGGGGACAAGGTATCGGGTATGTATTCTTGTACAGAAGTTCCTCTTTTGTCAGCTCACTGATTACAGATTGTAGCTCAATGTCATGCTTATATGTATTTGTCTTGCGCTGCTACGGTGGTGAATTGGTTGTGTTGTTTTGTTTTTGTTTTGTTTTTCAGGTTTCAGCGGTACCATATAGCCTGTTTTTGGTCTTCCCCTCGTCTTCCTCCCAGATGTTCTGCTATAAAATATCTCAAAATGCAGTTTGGTCTAGCTGCATTCTCGCTATAGACCACTGGTGTGAACAGAGTATTTTACTTACCTATGTTTTTTCTTAGTATGCGAGAGATTTCTAAGTATCACTGTCTGCAAGCCCCTGATTATTATTTTTGAGGAAAAAAGTAAAAGATCTGTTTTATGCGAGTGATACGTTGGTTATGTGATGCTAGACTCATATTTATATAGACCAATCAACACTCAGTCAGTGATAACTGAAATATTATCGCTTCCTCTTTATCCGTTTCCTCATTAGTAGAATAAGTTAACACTGATAACAACATAATGTGCAAAATAGTATCCAGTGGTGTACCATTGATTGGAAAAAAACTTCCAGTCAAGATGGTGAAAAGGCACGCTTACTGTTTTAAGTTGTGGCAAGTTTTTGCTTCTTAAAAATTGTTAGCCATTGCATTTTCCTTCATATGTGGACTGAAAGTTTATAGTTTCTTTGCCCAGCTACCGAGTTGAATGCATGGCTCGACATTGTGAGCTACAGATTAATTTTCATTGCTTTTCGACTCACCCAGTGTGGTTTTTGTGTGTGTACGTTTTTTTTTTTTTTACAACACCTGTTATAATTTACTATTTATTATAGGATATCTACTTGTGAAGTTTGTAACATTTTTAAAACTGTTAAAATTACTATCCATTATAGTATATTAATTTGCATTTTCTTTGTTTCCACAAGGCTATCATTACGGAATATTCACTTGTGAGAGCTGTAAGGGCTTTTTCAAGCGCACGGTTCAAAACAAGAAAACATTTGTGTGCCCCAAAGCTTCAGATTGTATTATCAATTCTCTCAATCGCAAAAAGTGTCCTGCTTGTAGGTTCAAGCAGTGTCTTGTCATGGGAATGAAGTTAGAAGGTGAGTGGGTATCTTAGACTTTAGTTGTATGATACTGTTGATGGGGAATAGGAATTCTTGACATAGTACCTCAGTTATGCTGCAAAACTGGCTCAACATAAAGTTCTTTTTCTCTCACAATGTCTGCATTCACCCTCTGTCTGCCCTTTTCCCTCTCTTATCACTGTCTGCCGTTCTTTCTTTCTTTCTTTCTTTCTTTCTTTCTTTCTTTCTTTCTTTCTTTCTTTCTTTCTTTCTTTCTTTCTTTCTTTCTTTCTTTCTTTCTTTCTTTCTTTCTTTCTTTCTTTCCATATGTATTTTGTTTTTGCATGTCTCTATCCATACTGCCTAGATATGTTTTAATAGTGAATACTAGGATAGTAGCTTTTACTTTAGCAACTGTAATTTTGGACATTTGACATTTTATTGTTGCAGACTTTAAAAACATGAGCGCCTTGGATGGCCCTTCAGCTCTGATTTATAACTCCCAAGCTGTGCAAGATGTGATTGTAGCTCTTTCTTTTGACTCTCTGACATTGTGAAATGTGTTTCGCTTCACTTTGTGGTCACTCCCATTAAAAGTAAAAAAAATAAAGAAGTAAAGATCCCTTTCCATGCCTTTAGGCGTATAGGTCATATGGGAAGAGCGCCGATATTTTTACAGACCATCAGCACTCGGTGGGTAATGTGGTCAGCATTACGCCGGCTGTCTTTACTTTCCCAGGACAGCCCATCCTGGTACCCATTTTAGGCTGGGTCGACCTGCGACGCCCCATACCATGATAAAAATCCACGCAGCCAGCAGTGGGTTTCGATCGCGGTACGCTGGATTACGAGTCGGACTCGCAACGCCTAAGCCACGGACGCCGCCATTAAAAGTAATTGTGATATTTGATAATGGTTACTTTCACCCTTTGGACATTTACTAGCAAAGCTTCCGGGCCTAAAAGAGTTAATTTAATAATAAACATGTAATCTTCCTCAGTTTGCCTGCTTTATTAATTTGCTATGGCTGCAGTTTAACCCTTTTGCCCCCATGGAGGGGTTAAGTCATGAACCCAAGAATTCCCAAAAGATGTTTAAAACGAAACACACATTTAACGTAGGTCAGTATTACATTTTATATTTTTTTTTTAGATGTGCCTGAAAAAAACAATTTAAACAAATATATCAAGACAATTGGTAGGCATGCCAAACAATTTTTTGAGGCCTCAGAGATGTGGTTTTACAGAAGAATGCTTAGAATACCTTGGACAGCCAAAAAAACAACCAAGAGGTTTTGAAAGAGGCGGGAACCGAAAGACAACTTATCACAGACATTAGAAGGAGACAGTTATCATTTTTCGGCCATATTATGAGAAGAGGGAAAATAGAATGTTGTGAACACTGGAAAGATCTGTGGAAGTAGGGATAGAGGAAGACAACGAGAGAAGATTCTTGACAGTCTTGTTGTAAGGCATGGAGGTGTGTCGGCACACGAACTGATACATGCTGCAGGAGATCGTGGATTATGGAGAGGCATGATCGCCCATGCCAGTGAGCAAGGCACCTGTTGATGATGATGATCAAGAGCAGTAATCTATAAACATAAATAAATTAGAGAGTAAGATGGAGTAGATTCCCTTAGACCTACACAAATTTGTATGGTGACTTATGTTTTGTTGAACGTGCATTGGGGCTGCTAAAGGCTAAAAGCAGATTATAACATCAGAGAGGGTTTTAAAAAGCAATTTCTTTCTGTAATTAACTAACCCCACTCCCACCCCAGTACTTTTAAAAGTAAATGTAATAATATCAGGCCCTCCTAAATGCTGTGTAGGTGCACACAGAACAGTGCCATTAACTAGACCTAGTGGGGACTGGCAACTACGCCAAAGCCGATCTGTAGGTTCTGCTAGAATGTTTAACTGTTTCGGAAGCCTAATTATTTACTTTTCTGGGCAAAATGGTTATGGTCAGGTGTTATATGTTAGTGTGATCTGACCCCCATATTGATGTTTCTTGTTATATTACTCACACTTTACATAAAGTTTAAGAGTGGAGGGAACCTATTGTTTTTTTTTTCTCCAAGATAATTGTGTATCTGTGTATCTGTGTTTAATGTACCTTCTGTGTTGTCTTTCCACAATTGTTTTGATCTTTCAGCAAAATTTCTTGATCTTTCTCAATCTCTATCATTCTCGTCATATAGCCAGGCTACTTTGTTGTGTCTTTGCTGGTATTGTATTTCTGATGATATTCTCATTCTTTTCTGAGTGAATTATGCATAATATATAATTACTTCTATAAATAGTAATGTTTGAATACAGTAATTAAAAAAAAACTATGCCCCCCCCCCCCCCCCCCCCCCCCCCCCAAAATCTGAACACCCTGATTGAATAAAAAATGTGTCACCTACACTGTTTTTCTTCATCTTGTGCATTCGTCCTTAAAAGGGTTGCTGGTGCATTGTGTAGTGGTTTACAGCTAGGCTGCAATATCTGCGCCTTTCGACCCAGTACATCTGATTTTAGCAATTTCCCTAATTAGTCTCCTTTTATGATATACTTGTTGGGGACAGTGAGGCTATTCTCATCCCCCAACCTCCCACCATAGTACAGAGCTCACACAGGGAAGATGCTCTCTCTGCTTGTCTTATCTGTTCATGGTTGAACCAGTAGAAGACCTCTTATTCTCATATGTTGATGCCGCCCTTGTTGTGAGGTGTAGTTAGCATGCCATAATTATTTTCCTTCTTCTTCTTCTTCTTCTTTGCTGTACGCCTGGAATGCCTTACTGTGTCAGGGCAGGGAGAGATCTCTGGAATGGGCCCTTCTGTTCTCTTCGCATAAAGCACTTTTCAGTGTATCTGATATTTTTGGGGTCTATGTTCTGTGTGGCTGACCTCTGGATTTGTTACCACTGTATCTGAATAACATTGTTCTCTGTGGTGCCCTGTCTGATGCCCCTCTTGTTCCATGGCCGAACTATTTGATTTGTTGTCAAAGCTCAGTATTGGTTCTGTGGTGCCCTCTGATGCCACTCTTGTTCCATGGCCGAACTATTTGATTTGTTGTCAAAGTTCAGTATTGGTTCTGTGCCAACTCTCTTCCTGACTGACCTTCAAAAACATATATTTGTCATTTTCTTACCAGTACACATGTATGGTAGAATCAAGTATTTCTTCTGCTTGTTGCATACAGCTATCAGACAAGACAGAACAAGAGGAGGAAGGAGCTCATATGATGGCTGTGTGACACATTTGAAAAACCGTGTGCCTACATTTGACAAAAAACTGAAACGAGTTGGCAACAGAATTCCTCTTTTAGGAGATGTTTCAGATCAGTCACAGGATGCCAGAGAAGGGACAAAGTCTCACAGGCACCTGGTTGCTATCCTGAATCATGACACTCATAGACAGGTAGGTACGTTCTCATATTGTTACATAACTTGTTAAGTCAAGATGTCAGTGGCTATGTCTAAGGGGTTATAACAGTGGTTCATAGCTCTAAAATATCCTGCTTGATTCGCTGCAGGCAGTTTTTTAGCAGACCATTTTTCTTTGACCTTGACAGTGATATGAAGCATCAACTGTCGGCCCCCCTACCCCCCCTCCTTGTAAAAGTTGACTGATTATGGGTGTTTCCTTCAAAGTCAGAATGCATCTATCTACCTGAGAGCCAAGGGACTAGCAGTGTGCATACATATAAGCTAGATCTGTAAAATTGATTTGCATGCAAAAACTCAAGTTCTGGAACCAGACTAAAGTCCGGAAGTTGACAAACAACCAGAACTGTCCATCTTGAGTTTACAGCTGGTGAGAACGAAGAAGAGGAAGAATTTACACAATTGCCTAGAAAAACCACAAACTGGGTATCAAAAAATCACTACAGGTGGTCAATGCTATAGATGGGTAGAAAGCATTCTGAAGTTGCAGTTAACCTTCATAATCTCATCTTCACACTTGGGCACGCAGGAGTAAATGCTAATGAAAGAACTGACAAGTAAGGCACCAATGTAAACGGGAAGAATCATTGACAGAGCTGATATCAGCGCTGTACAGACTAGTTTGGGGTATAATAGCAAATCTCTGACGCTAACATGGCTGCATGACTGAGGAGTTAAGCTTGGTGAAGCACATCTTTGTTGTCTTGAGAAAAAGACAGTAGAAACTATAACCAACTCCTCATGGGAACAATCAGCACAGGTACCTTAGAGTGGCTGCTGCAACGGAGGACTGAGCATGCATGGGGATACCCAATGTGCAAAGATGTCGATTGTGATAATATTGCAGAACTTTTAAATGAAGATACTTGTGTAAGTTGCTCAGAAATTAATATAAGCTATATCTTTACCTGCTTATTAACTGCTGCCTGTGCTCTATAGAGGGAATTAAAAGTATGTCATAATCACTAAAGTTTGAGTTTTTGAAGAGAACTACAAATTCCAGTGAATCAATTGGTGAGCAAAAGATGCTGGTGTGGGATAGGACACACATTAAGAAAACCTGTTCTTAGTTTTCTTGCACTGGAACCCACAGGGTAAAAGCAGCGAAGGCAGATAAAAATAATATGAAGAATTAGGATTAGAGGATAAGCTGGAAAAAAAAAAACACACATTGACAGGATATGATTTGAGCTGTAGATGATGGTAAAGGATGAAACGACAACATGAGTTTGTTGAGGGCTTATCTCCATTGAAGGATAAAGGGCCATAAAGGAAGGCTGTAACCTGTTTTTGTAATGTGTATGTGTTTTAGTTTTATGATATTGTGCAACACAAATGTTAAAAATTATGGTCTTGGTAAAAAAAAAATCAGTGCCACCAGAGTATGAGATAATATTGAAACAAGTTAGTGTTTGAACTGTATTCTCTAGTCCCATACAATATAGTTGTAAGCATCATCCCAGGTTTTAGGGTTCATTCTTGTCCAACCTCTCTTACTAGAGCAGCTTCACACATGAAGTTCAGTCTTCAGGGGCAGATACAGGCAAAATATATGCATCTCTTTTAATTTAAGGCGTTCGCAAAGAACCCAGCATGCAATATATAGTGTGCTTTCAGCAGCACAGAAACTGTGTTACAGCAGTGAAACACTTTTCCAGTGTGTCCTGAGACCTATTTTTTTTTTTTTTATTTGTTTATTATTGACCTTGGCTCCCAGGTCACCCCAGCCTGAAATAAGTTCCAGGAAATGTCATTGGAAGTAAAGGGGGGGGGGGTGAGGAACCAACAGTTTGCATAAAATAAGCCAGATCTGTAAAACTGATATGCACATAAAACTGAAGTTCTGGAGCTACACTAAAGTGGACAAACAACCAGAACCTTCTGCCAGAGTTTACAGCCGGTGAATGCAAAGAAGAAGAATCTTAGGGTTTGAGGCGCTGTCAGGGAAATGTAATTGCTCTTTTCTGATTTGTTTATAATTTTATTATTTGAGGCGCTGTCAGGGATATGTAATTGCTCTTTGCTGATTTGTTTATAATTTTTTTTTTTAATATCTTTTCTAAAGACCAGTCCCAATTGTGGAACACCACAAATCCCAGAACTTCTGAGAGATATTATGAACCTGGAACCACTGTTAAGTGATGATGACCTGCCGGCCGAGTCCCTGATGGAGGCTCCCTTCCATGAGCAGGCACTCTACTCCTACATGATGCAGCTGGCAGAACTCAGGCTGTATAAACTGGTGCGGTGGGCAAGGAATCTTCCTCAGTTTGGTGCAATCTCTGTAAGTTTTTACTATCTTGATCAAAATAACTTTGGTTGGGGGAGATGGTAGAGGGGGTGATTTTGTTGCTTATTTTGGATGTTTTTGCCCAAACAAATGGTCATAAATTTTCATAAAATGTTAAAATCAGGTGAAGAGAAAGTGGTATGGCATTGATTTTTCAGACACATGCTAGAGTGTTATTGATTTGTAGACTTCTAAAAGAATGGCTCACTCATATGCGCATGTCCAGTCCATCTTTATAGGCATCTGTAATTTAGTCAGTGGCACATGATTCTAACAAATTTAGACAATCAAGATTTCAGTTGTTCCGCCGGTTGGCTGTATCGGTTAAAAAAATAGACACTCAGTTTCATCGTGAAGGATTTATGGTGAAACAGCATCTTGTCTCGGAAGTTGAAATATTTTGGTGACATCCGGCGCCATAATGGATTGAAGAAAAAATAATAGCAGAAGGCTTGGTACCAGGAAGGAGGGGCAGGGGCCGACCAACACGAAGACGGGCACAGGATATAAGTGAATACCAGCATCTGTGTAGCACAAACCCAGAGCCTCTTCAAAACCTTATGCTGCGAGGCAGAAGAAAAAGATTAAAAAATACTACTACAGATGGAAGCCAGTGGAGTGCAGTATCCAGCATGCTTTTCTGCCAGCCTGGAGATCAAGTTTGAATCCCAGAGGCAGGGACTTGTAAAAACTAGACATGGGTTTGCAGATAGATCTGGTCTAAAACGTTCTAGGAAGTAAAGATGACTGTGATGAGATACTGAGCTCTTATATGATTGCATGATCTGAAAAACATGATGCCAACACACAGATTTCAATTAACAGATCAAGTTACTTATTGAGGTAGTAATTGTGATTCTTCTTCTTCTTCAGCATTCCGAGCCCTTGAGGTTCATTGCTGCAGATATCACCCGCCTCAATTCATCTCTCTGGTTGGCCTTCTCTTTCCAGTTGGTGACACCAAGTGTTTGCAGGTCTGTCTGGACATTATCTCTCTATCGTCTTCTTGGTCTGCCTTATGGTCTGTGACCATTCAGCTCCATTCATCTATTCTTTTAATATGCAAGCCATTTTAGTCTATTAGCTCTCATGGTGCCAGTGATCAGTAATGATTTAAACAGATTATAGTTTTGTTGTTGCTTCTCACTCTCCATTCCCCGCTGTCAGCATCTTTGATGAGTCCAAAGATTCATCGTAAGACTGTTTTCAAAAATTTGTAATGAAGTCATTTCTTTTAGTCGTGCTTCAGGTTTCAGAGCCAAATAAAACGACTGGTCTTATTAACGTTTTATATATTTTGATCTTGTCTGGTGTCCGAGGGATTAGCATTCTTCTAGTCTCGCTGAGTGGTCAACAGTTTTGTTGGGGTAATTACAAAGCTGGCACTCTGGGGAGTGTTGTGGCTGTGTTCTGTTTAGATGTCCATTGAGTGGAGTATGTTGTGTTCTGAGCCTGGAGTTGGTGGCCTGGTCCCTTCTTGTCAGATGGCATTACATAAGGAACAGAAATCAGATAACACACAAGTAAAAGTAAAAGTTACACACAAACACACAAGACAAAGTAAAAGTTACACACAAACACACAAGACAAAGTAAAAGTTACACACAAACACACAAGACAAAGTAAAAGTTACACACAAACACACAAGTAAAAGTAAAAGTTACACACAAACACACAAGACAAAGTAAAAAGTTACACACAAACACACAAGACAAAGTAAAAGTTACACACAAACACACAAGACAAAGTAAAAGTTACACACAAACACACAAGTAAAAGTAAAAGTTACACACAAACACACAAGACAAAGTAAAAGTTACACACAAACACACAAGACAAAGTAAAAGTTACACACAAACACACAAGTAAAAGTAAAAGTTACACACAAACACACAAGACAAAGTAAAGTTACACACAAACACACAAGACAAAGTAAAAGTTACACACAAACACACAAGACAAAGTAAAAGTTACACACAAACACACAAGACAAAGTAAAAGTTACACACAAACACACAAGTAAAAGTAAAAGTTACACACAAACACACAAGACAAAGTAAAAGTTACACACAAACACACAAGACAAAGTAAAAGTTACACACAAACACACAAGTAAAAGTAAAAGTTACACACAAACACACAAGACAAAGTAAAAGTTACACACAAACACACAAGACAAAGTAAAAGTTACACACAAACACACAAGACAAAGTAAAAGTTACACACAAACACACAAGACAAAGTAAAAGTTACACACAAACACACAAGTAAAAGTAAAAGTTACACACAAACACACAAGTAAAAGTTACACACAAACACACAAGACAAAGTAAAAGTTACACACAAACACACAAGACAAAGTAAAAGTTACACACAAACACACAAGTAAAAGTAAAAGTTACACACAAACCAACTTTGCAGTCAACAGTAATAGTAAAGCACCATTTTCATTGCATAAGGCATTTTCATTGTCTGTTGTATCCCTCTTCTCCAGGTGGGTTCCAGGGCTCCATTGTGAGGAAACACAAGAATAGACCCACTGCCTCCCCAGAAAGCATGTCGTAGGGGTGGACTAATTAGAAGCTTCCTTGGAATTTAGAGTGCATCTGCCCAAGCGGCAAGGAAAAACCAGCTGCAGACAAATAAGCCAGTAAAGCGGATGTACACACAATACTCAGATGCTGGAACAAGGGTAAAGTTCAAATGGACAAACAACTAGGACCTTCTGTCAGAGCTTATAAAGAAGAAGAAAAAGAAGTATTCATCTGATAACTAATCAATTCAGCTGGACTTCTGCCTGTCTTCTGGCTGGCTATTCTGATATCTATGTGCTACGTCATCTGTCTGTTGTTTTAGTCTCTCTGACGTATACTTCTCAAGTCACCTGTGAGTATTTTTGGTATTTGTAAATAAACCATCCCATGTTTGACCCGAATGTAATTACTATAGTATTTCTTATGTTACTAACTGTAATTACTATAGTATTTCTTATGTTACTAACTGTTGGCCAGTCATAGTTTGACACTTGATTTTGTTTCACCACATCAGACAGATGACCAGATTTTGCTGTTACAAAACTGCTGGTCGGAGCTGATAGCCTTGAGTCTGTGCTGGAGATCCATAGACACCCCAAACCAGATCAGCATCTCCACAACTCATCACATCACAGCAGAGTGGGCACAGCACCTGGGGTTTGAAGACGTGGTTGTCCGGTTACTCAACATAGCAGAGAAGTTTCGCAAACTCTACATGGACCAGTTTGAATATGTGGCTCTTAAGGTGCTGCTGCTGATAACCCCAGGTCAGACTGCCAGATATAGACTGTAGCGTTTTGAGTTTTCTCTGGGTGTTATTGTAGTAATCTTTGTCTTCTTCTTCTTCAGTTCACCGGACTCTAAACTCTGCCGGATATCGACTGTAGCCTTTTCAGTTTTCTCTAGGTGTAATTGTTGTAATATTTGTTTCTTTTTTTTCTTCTTCTTCTTCTTCTTCTTCTTCTTCTTCTTCTTCTTCACTTCACCAGCTCTAAACTCTGCCGAATATCAACTGTAGCATTTTCAGTTTTCTCTGGGTGTTATTGTTGTAATATTTGTTTCTTCTTCTTCTTCTTCTTTATCTTCTCCTTCTTCTTCTTCTTCTTCTTCTTCTTCTTCTTCTTCTTCTTCTTCTTCTTCTTCTTCTTCACATTCAGCATCTCCAAACCCTGAGGTAAATTGCTGATTATTCGTTCACTTTGGGACTTTGGTTCTGCTCCAGAACATGTTTTAAGATATGGCTTACCTGTATGCAGACTGTTGGTTCCTGGCCTGGAAACTCATACTGGGATAAAAAAATCGGTGTTATACTGATTAGAAATTGAGGCTGGCTGATAGGTTAGAACATTAGGTCCTCATGCTGGAGTCTAGAGTTCATCTCCTCTTTAAAGGGATGGAAATTGTGTGTGTATATGTGGGAGTTAGAAGTTAGTGGTGTATGCTTTACAGGACGTTGTGGTTTTTCTAGGCACATTTTACGTTCAGTAGTTTTCCCATTGTTTTCTCCCATGTGATTGAGTCAAAAATAACAGTCCTAGCCTGCACACTTCCTAGCGTCTGCATTCATCTTGTAACCCTAAATCCTCAGACTCGAGACTCCCTACCTACCACCCCACCCCCCAAGTGGCAAACATAAGCAGTCAACTCACTGACTACCACGATTGCACATTATGTGATTCACCATACGCCTTGCTACCACGATCACCCCCCGCCTCCTGCAGTTGTAACTTTAGACACTCACCATAATGTTAAAATTGTGACTTTTGCAACAAATATAGTTAAGGCCATTGGTCCATTCATTTCTCTGTGGTTTTCTTTAAGGGAAACAATTTGGTAGTGCTTAAAGTAAATTTCCCACACATTTTTTTTGTTAGTTAGCTGCCATGTTGATTACACATTAGGTGCATGTTTTCCTAAATAGGCAGATCATTAGGGCCAGAATGGTGGAACAGTTGGGATAATATTTATGGTGCAGTGGGATACTGAAATTGTCTGGGATATAATCAGTATGAAACATTTGTTATTCTGTTTAAAGGGAAATGTTTTAATAAAGTGCCATGCATCAAGTAAAGTCATGGGATGGAAGACAGAGAATTTGTTTTAATCTATTTTAGCCTAATATTTCATTGGAGTGTCTATGGCAATACCAAAACGTTAAGTTACTGGACATAACTTGGGAAAAAAAAGAAACCCCTGGCTAAAGTTTAGAGGATTGACTTCTGTTCCACATGGCAGAGTATTTCTCTGCAAAATGGCTAGCTGCTGCCAAGAGTATTTGGCAAAGCATGAACCCTGTAGCTCTGGTGATGGTCTTCAGGGGTGTGTCAAAATTTGGGGTACATATCACAAAAATTACCCCATCTTATCAGGCGCGAGATTAAATGCCTGCTCCCGTTCATGCTGGGGCCGTTCCCCCAGGCTGTCCTATGTTGCAGGGGTGTTAGGATATGCGCTCCTACACCATCTCTATCTATGCAGAACAGTGGCACCCATTCATTCAAGGCATGACAGGAAAGTGTGGAAGGAATAAGCATTCCTTCGCTGTCTATACACACTGTGCAAAAGAGCAGCTAGCAGTCGGTCGAGGCTCAACACAAAAGTGGGGAGCCTTCTTTCATGGCAGGCCACAGTAGCGACTGTGTGAGTGTGTGTGCGCACAAGTGAGTGTTCAACTAGTTTTCTTTTCTCTGTTATCTGGTTTGAGAATTAGTGACACTGTGGGGTGAGCCCTGGGTCAAGTCACCAAGTAAGGCCACAGTGGTAGCGATTAAGAGCGGACACACAAGTAAAACATGCAGTGCTGGCCGCTCACAGTGTGAAAAGTATAACATTCTAGCCACTTGCAACGTAAAATATAGAATGCTTATGGCGTTGAAAATAACACAATATGACACCGCTAGAACATAGGACATCCTGTGTGAAATCTCACGCTCAACGAGATGGGGTGATTTTTGTTATCCAACAAAAAATACTTAGCTTTTGAGATTCACAGGCCTCTAGCTAATAAATTCCTAGATTTTAAATATTTTATATTTATTATATATTACACACACACACTTATATATATATATATATATATATATATATATATATATATATATATATATATATATATATATATATATATATATATATATATATATATATATATATATATATATATATAGTTATATATTACACATATTATATATCTATAATATTTTTTACCCTCACAGATGTGAAAGGCCTCAAAGAACCACGGAAAATCCGAGACTTCCAGGAAAAGCTGACAGAAGCCCTTCTAGCATACACCACTTCACATTATCCACACATGAAGGACAAGTTTGGACAGCTTCTGCTGCGACTGCCAGAGCTCTCACGCATTAGCTTCCTATCTAAAGACATACTGATTAAATCTTTGCCCCCCAGCCTCCCCTGCGGACTCCTGGTTGAACTTTTAAAGGGGGATAACAAAGGGGAAGGAGATGGTTCAAGTTTGAGTTTGTGATATTGTGAATTGTGTGCCCTGAATACCTATGTAACTCATTCTACTGCATCAAGCAAGCTAACATGCTGTGCCGAAAATTGAGATATAACCAGACGTGCCATATAAGGATATCCTTTTGCACACAGGCTGGGGTTCCGTGTGGCGAAGTGGTTACACCATTTGCTTAGTGCTCTGAAGGTTGTGGTTTCAGTTTCTAATTCCATCCTTCAGTTCACTGGTGCTGAATTTTGGAGATACCTACTCGAACTTCAAAGTCCACGCTTTGCGTGATGGTCATGGCAAGTAAGCAGCCTCTCTGAGAGACTGAACCCTACATGTTAAAACTCAGTAGCAATGAAGTTTTTCATACCTGTAAATACTTCTGTTGCTAGCAGTTTGCCTTAGCTTTACTGTAGTAACCGAGGGAGTGTCTTCAAAGTTAGCTGACTATCAGCTAAGGTATTACACTCTTGGAGATGACCATCAGCCAAGATATTACACTTTTGGAGCGGACCATCAGCCAAGGTATTACAATCTTGAAGCTGAACATCAGCCGAGGTATTTCACTAATAGAATGACCATCAGCCGAGGTATTACATTTTTAGAGCTGACCATCAGCCGAGGTATTACATTCTTGGAGCTGACCATCAACCGAGGTATTACATTCTTAGAGCTGACCATCAGCTGAGGTATTACATTCTTAGAGCTGACCATCAGCCAAGATTAAGAGGGCTTACCAGGTTTGAAAAAAGTGCCAGTTTTGTTAGTAGACTTTATTCAGGGCTAATGGAAGAATCTCAAGTACTGTTTAATTTGTTCTGTTTGTTGTGATTTCTGTGGACAGGAGAAGAATAGCACTTCCACAGGATAATGCTTGAACTCTTGATATGGAGCAAGTCACCATTCATTGAACAGTGGCCGTGTCACCTAAATGCCTGATTATTTTATTTGCACTGTATACAAGAAACCACCATTCCTTACTCCATACGTCTTGTGCCTGTTTTCGTTTCTAAAATGACACTGAAGTTTTTCTGTTTTGGTGTTCTCTCATTAAATTTGCTCATTATCAGAATTATATTGATTGTAAATGGAATATTTCAAAAATTATAATCATCACAGACTGAGTATGATTACATAATATCATTCATACTATGCCAAAATGACCTAAGTTAAGTTTTGGTGATTTTTCACCTTTGCACTTTTAGGGCCATTATTTGTCACTTTACAATATACCAAAGGCAGACATGTGAATTCCTACTCCAATTAGGTCAAAAAGAAGTATTATCTTTCATGCAGCCACATAGTTTCTAATTGCCACAGCCTTATTTTTCAGAGAGATTTGCGAATAACTGTCTTTAATGTACCACTTTTGCGATGTAGGCAGGGGACTCTTTGAGACTGAGGATTGAAGACCTCGTGGCTAGTCAGAGAGATCTGGAGTGTTAAAACACAATTTTCTCAAAACAAGGATTAAATACTTAAATGATTTTGGCTGACTCCTGCGATTTAATAACTACGTAATAGCTACATGGATATTCATGGCTGTTGAGATAGGGGCCGGCATTCTGTGCTCAGAAGTAGCGGAATTTTTTTCTGAGCAGTGTCAATCAGGGGTCAGCTCAGGGTCATTTAGGGGTCAGCTCAGCATCATTTAGGGGTCAGCTCAGTGTTATTTAGAGGTCAGCTCAGCGTCATTTAGGGGTCAGCTCAGTGTCATTCAGGGGTCAGCTCAGCGTCATTCAGGGGTCAGCTCAGTATCATTCAGGGGTCAGCTCAGTATCATTTAGAGCTCAGCTCAGTATCATTTTGAGCTCAGCTCAGTATCATTCAGGCGTCAGCTCAGCGAATACCAGACAGTTTCCACAATTATCTGTGCAAGCTTGAGAATATTGGGCAATGAGAGAAGTGGGTGACAATGTTCAAGCAACTGGGTAGGTTTCTAATTAGGTTGGCGGGCAGGTGCTGTAGAATTAGAAGTTTAACAAATAATTTATGACATTTCCCACCCAGGTGATGTGATTATCTATATGGATGGCTCCTTGTTGAGAGCTATACCAAGTGCAAAGGGGAGGGGGGGGGGGGGGGTGTGTCAATAGAAGTGAATGTTCATGGCTTAGTACAAAAAAGCCTGTCACATTCCAGAGTTGTGTGGAAAGAAAAGTGATGAGTTAGGAAACTGACTCAAACCAAATGAGAAGCAGAACATTATTTCAATGACGGATGAAAAGTGAGCAAAGGTGCTCCAATTTAACTGTTTATTCTGTTGAATGGGGTATATGGGATGTGTTGTAGTTGGAAATGGCACAGGAAATGTGGCTCTTTGAGTCACTTGGTGTCTGACCTTCCGGTGGCAGTGCCCTAGGGGGAATACAGAAAAGAAAACAAGTTTTCTAGTAATATAATTTGTCACTGATCTGTGTCAGATACTTGGCTTGATATATAATGCATACAACAACAAAAAACACCATATATGACTATCCATGCTGATGCTAATGTAGTATTCTTTGAGGTGGTGGAATATTTAAGCATGCGGATAAACAGACTATCCACTGTCTGTCACTATTCTTGTCTTGATCTGTGAACATGCAGTCACAGACAAATTTTGTCATTTTTTTTAATAGTGGATATTTAATCTGATATCATCTCGCCCCATCTTGGTCCTCGTGTAGCTTGGTGTGTCGAGGTGAAGAATAAAAAACTGCTCATCTGTGAAAAGTTCAGGTGAAGAGGATAGACTTCATTGCACTGGATTTTGTTCCCATTTAATATTTTCTGACTCCACAGAAGGGCTAGCTGCTTGCCGAGAGTGTTGCATAAAGCTCAAACTCCATAACTCCTAACGACGATCCCCAGTAATCTATAAAATGTGCACTCATGAACTTCCATGACATGAACCTATGACCTTAAGGGCATGAGGGATAGACCATTTTATTGTTTTCAATCTTTAAGTCCCAAGTGACTCACCATGAGTTGATTAGTTACCACTTTGCTTATGTAACTGGCCAGCTGTTACACTGACCTACTCTACCTCAATGGCTGTTGTAATTCTTTCTGTCTGACCGTCATTGTCTGACCTCTTTCAGTCTCAACCATTTATTCTACTATTCTAATGTATAGTCAACATTGCTTGAGATAAAACATTTAAAATAACACCTATCTGGGGAGCCTTAAAGAGTTAAGTTAGGAAATTTTGTGGCAGAAATGTTCTTTTTTGTTAAGTTATCTTACAAAAGGACAGCCATTGGCATTTGTTGTATCTTTTAGTCTGACCATCTCCATTGTGATTGCTTGTCATTAGCTACCATTACCGCCTGTGTTAAGCATTTTTGTTGCTGTTGTGGAGCTCGGAGTCTTAAGGTTGAAGACTGCATGGCTAGTGCAGGTTGAGGTTTTTTTCTTTCTTTCAATTGCTTGTTAAATACATGATAATTTATCAGCAGAGTTTTGCATTATATGAAGCAACAGTGCGGTGTAAAAAGTTCATAGTAGATGTTAAAACAGGTCTGAAGCAATAGGATATTATTCTCTAGAGCTAATTTTGATGTCTCATTTTAAAGATGTATTAGCCAGAATTGTTTTAAAACTCAGTCTTACGACGAATCTTTGGACCCATCAAAGATGCAAACAGTGGGGAATGGTGATGGAAAGTCATAATCAGTTTAAATCACCATTGATCACTGGCATCATGGGAGCTATTAGAAATAAATTGGTGGGGCATCTATAGAGAACGGCAGATTACAGAAAAGCACAAGGAATTGGAATGGCTGTATTCCATAAGGCAGACCAAGAAGATTGCGAAGACATAATATCCAGGCAGATCTACAAATATTTGTAATCACCAACTGGAAAGAGAAAGCTAAACTGGAAAGAAAGGGGCCGATCACAAAGGCGACGGAGGTCAATAATCGCAACATTGAATCTCAAGGGCTCAGAATTCTAAAGAAAAAGAATTAGCTAAAATAAAGTGTGAGAAGCAGCTAGAAAATTCTCAATATGTTTAAATCATCACTAATTACTGTAGAAGAAGAAAGGATTAGTTGAAAGTGACTTGAATAACGTCAATCACATCCCATCTGTTAGGAATCACTACAACACATACATTGTCAAGAAATGTATTTATTAGGGGAATGTGCGGTCTTGAGGTATGCTGTCCGCCTTGAGTGCTGGAGGTCTCGGGTTCAAGCCCCGCTGAAGGCTGGGATTTTTTCATGTGGACTTCTAGTAATTTCCCCATGTAAATGCCTGTGTGTATTCTTGCGCACATAAAGAAAATCCCTTGGCAGTTGGAAATCGAAAGAGTAGCCTAACGGCGCTGCCCGGGCAAAACATCTGGAGTTCAAAATCTACCTAAAGTATTTCAGGATCCTCGCCGGTGCTGCAGAGTTTGTGCACTGCGCTGAGATTCTTCAGACTCAGGCTTGAGTTAGAAGTAAAACGGAGCATTGATGAATGCCAAAATGTTGAACCCTTGAATAAACATGAACTGTTCTCTCCAGACATTTTAAATTGGCCAGAAAATTACAGGAAACAAAACTGTATATGGTCCAGTCCTCTCATGAAGAATGTCCGCATTTGTCTTCTTCTTAGTCCAGATGAATTCCAGGAAATGGAATAAAGTCCAGGAATAAGAGCAATGCCTGGGCAACCACTGGTAACAACAAAGAAGATGGGGCTATATTGGGCTTTCCTTACAATAAAGTAGCAGAGAATCACTAAAGTGGGAAGTGAAGCAGTTAAGAAAGTGAGGACACCCAAGAGAAATCCTAAAACCAGCATTGATGACAGAGGTCAAAGGTGCTGGACTGAATTCCATCTGTGATATTGAATTGATAGTCCTGACATATGGGTGTGAGTCATGGGCAATGACAACAGCTCACAGAAGCCAGCTGCAGGCCTCAGACATGTATAGACATGCATGTAGAATGGGACATAATTGGCCGCCACGGCAGGCAGAGGAGGTCAAGAACCAGGGAACCAGCCCACCAGTGCGACATAGGGTTCACTGAGAAGACAACATCCGA